GTCCCTTTTCCTATCAGAAGAAGAAGACGACGAAAACTAACAAACCGTAACTAAAGTTCTGTTGCGCAGTGTCATAATTAAAATTTCGCAGTGCTCTTAACAAATTTTTGAAAAGCAATTTTTCAATAACAACTAATCTTCCAAAATTCGGTGCCTCACCACTGTCTAAAAAAGGCAACTCTTTAATTAAGGTTGTGATGCTCAACAAACACCAATAACATCTCAAAGACGGCTAAGTCTTACTAAGTGCTTCTGCTGGGAAACCAGTGACCAGTGCAGGAGAAAACCAAACATCAGGATTGCCAGCATGCTGACCATTCGGCGACGCAGTGGTGGTCAGGGTGAATGGACAGCTGGAGGATCAGACTATGAACTGCAGCTGATTATTCATGCTATTTCAAAAATTCAATCGAGTTTTGGAAAAAACAAAAAACTAGCGTTTAAAAAAAATGCTAAAGAACAGAAGGCGTACGCTAAAGGGGAATGATGCATCGTATATGCCACTTTCCACAGTATCTTCCCGTTCCAGCTCATCCCATAGCTGCTTCTCACTTTTCCCCTCAGTCGCACCATCATTTACCGGTGCAATTACATCTGAAAATCGCATTTTAAAATACAAAAATTCTTCACAGACAAACACACGCATCCCGACAGCAAAGTGCGACCGCTCGTAAAGTCTCGAAAATTTCCGTTTTCCATTCACAACGGAAAAATGAGATGATTTTTCTGGAATTTCTGGCTGCTAAAAATTAGCACAGGTCCTGCACAGGTCCTGTATTTACTGCTTTTTGTGACTCTGAAAACCCTAACTTTTTTTACGGGGAAACTCGCCACAAGCTCAATTTTAAGCGAAAAAGCAACACGGGGTAAGAAGCAGTGAGAGCGGAGGAGGGAGAAGCTTGAGGTGGGAGGCGAAAACCAGGGGGGACCACAATTATGAAGAACAAAAAGTACCTAAAAATATAATCCTCTACAGTTTGATAGGTTTATAATGCTATAAACCAGAAACTAATTACAAAATTTTCAAGTCTGCAGTAACCTGATATTTTACAAGCAGATGCTGTGATACCGCTAGAAATGCTACTGGAATGCCCACTATCGGCCATTGCTTCACTTCCCGGTGTTTGTTTTCCGGCCAAAATTTTGAGCTCCGCCAGCTTCTGCAAAAAAATATACTTCTGAAAACGGCAATCTTTCATCGTACTGCAACTGTGCAATACTTATGTAGCTAATAACCTTCAAATTACCAGTGCAGAGCTTTTGCTGTTAGGTAAAATGAAGTAAAAAGTCCATCTGCAGCTACGTTAGATCCCCTGCAACAGAAATATTCCTTCTAATTCTGTAACATCACCAAGTTCACCCGAACATTTGGTACAGGAATGATAAGTAACGACCATTCGATGGGCAGTCCAAGTGGGATGGCCGAAGTGGGTTAAATTGACAATAAATTTTTTTCGGCCATTCGTAGGCCGAACCATAGTTACTGAAGTAACGGCCAGTTCAAACCGTGGAAAATACGGAACAGGCGAAATATGGACTCAAGTCAGTGATGTTACTGGGATGTTTTCATATATCCGGCTACTGGGATGCTAGTTCATACTGGTTACTGGGATGCTAATTCTTCGATCCTAAGCCGCATATCTCCGTTTCACCGCGTTTTCTACGCATTTGGGCCGAAATAAAATGCTCATACGGGAAAAAGTGAGACCCAGTGAGTGAATTTACTGAAGATCTGATAGATACCAGTGGATAGTATCCAATAAAAAAAACATAAGCAAGCCCTGCAGACGATGGATACAAACTGGAGACATGCAAGTCAAGAGAGGATTATTAGGAGGCATTTCTGCATTCAGACTGAAGCATCTGAACAGTGTATTCGTAATTCAAAGGTCAAAATTCAGTAAAAAACTAACTGTTTGAAGTGAAGCTAAATGAGCTTCAAGGACACCAATATGTTCCAGTGTTGTGATGGTCACATCGTTGGTATTCTCCCTCGGCAGGAGACCCGTGTCGAAACGATTGTACAGTGCTATCCAGACAGCAAACACTGACGGATGCAAATCAATCTTTTCCAAATAACCATATTTATTTGGCTGAAAAAAAATTAGCCATTACATCCTCACATTAGTACATCCATCATCAGTAACCAACCTCCTTTACACCATCTCCCCGCATCTCTCCCTTAGTGAAACAATGGAAAGAAAGATAACTGACTTCATACAATGGATTAATGTAATCATCATGACGATCATCCATGAAAGCCCACAAAGATTGAGTTCGTTTTGCTAAATTGAGATCCTAAAATTAAAAATTCACATTTTCAAAGCCAAAAAGCAGCTGATCACAAGGAACTGAGTAGCCAAAGGAACACTGTAGCTATTTCCGGAATTCCTCTTATGCAAAATTTTAAAATCAAAAATTACTGATTCAGCTGATGTGTACAGGAGGAAATAGCAAAATAGAGGAACTGGACTGTGTCATGTGTAAGTAGACATTTTACGTTGCAGTCTGTGTTTCATCCCTCAGCTATAAATACAGACCGAACTTTGCGTGCGGGTAGGTGCAGGAATAATCAGTACAGCCTCCTACCCGCAATGTACTGTAATAT